AACTTCGGTAGGCCATAGCTTTCTCATACGGAGTCCGTTTTAGACGATTCTTTCACCTATGCACTCTAAATTGTCTTGTCTACATTCCAAGACTTAAATTAATTCGTTTTAGCTCTATAAACTCATCCTTTCGTAATCTCAAACATCAATTTCCGGCTAACAGTTTAATAAATATGGATTTAGCGGCTCTTCTCGAAGCTACACAACTATTCAATGTGGCATTTTACCAACATAGCCAAACGTTCTTATCATATAACCAACCCTTTTTAAAAGTTAACTATACCCCTAATTTACTTTTATAGATTAACAAAATGGGGTGTTACAAAGTGTACTGATTGAGGATGAAAATGCTTCAAAGCATTAATAATACCAATATTACTTCTGCCATAGTTTAAGAACAATTCAAACCCACATTCATACATATATTACATTAAGAATAACTATAGGAGGCACGAGATGCACATATACATCAAACTTATCTTCAAAACAACATTAAATTGATAAACAATGAAGGTCGACGGGCTCTGTGACTGTAACTTGTGTGGTTTTTGTTTTAACATGCTCGATCCTATGAACCACACTTTCAACAAATTTAAAGTAGGCCTCACCCCATGGTCTTCTAATCGACATGATCATCCAGGGGACCAAAATGCCAATGGCAAATCCTAGTCCAATGCTCAAAGGAAACCACTTATCGTCGTCAGATTCGTCTTTGTCGTCATTTGGAAGAGGCGGCGTGCTGTCAGAGCTGTTACTTCCACACTTAATACGAAGAGAAGGTCCACAAAGATTTGGATTTCCCGAAAACGAAGATTCTCCAAAGGTTGCCATTTGGCTTCCAATAGGAATCATGCCGGAGAAGTTATTATTGGACATGTTAAGACGACTTAAGAACGTTAGTGATGACAGACTTGAAGGAATGACACCTGAGAACCTGTTGCGTGAGAGATCAAGTGAACCCAATTGAACTAAATTAGATATGTTGTCTGGCAACGAACCGTCGATTTGGTTTCTTGACAGATTCAAAAATACTAGACCAATCAACTTTGTTAATTCAATCGGGAAATGACCATTGAGGTTGTTTGTGGAGAGATCCATGTAAGCTACCAAGGAAAGAGTTTTGGTGTACTGCAGAAACCCACCTTCTAAATTTACAACCAACCTTTCTTTGTAGTATATTCCACGGTAAAATCCATAAAAACGATACTGATTGATAATTTGATCATGAGACATGCCTGTGAGATTGCCCAAGCTTATGGGGATCATTCCAGTGAAATTGTTTAGGGCAAGATCCAGGACTTGGAGCTTGGATAAACCTGGGAAATTTTTAGGGATTCCTCCCGAAAATGAATTTGATCTCAAGCTTAGAATTTTCAGAGTTGTAAGACTATCTCCTAACCATTGTGGGATATCTCCAGAAAATTTGTTGTTTGCTAGATCGAATGTCTCCAGGCTGGATAAGTTCTTCAAAGATGAAGGGAGCTCTCCTGAAAAATTATTGTCATCGAGGTGCAGTGACTGGAGGAACTGTAAGTTGCCAAAAGATTCTGGAATTACACCTGACAAATTGTTGTATCCAAGGTCTAATGCTTTAAGGTAAACAAAATTTCCAAAACCTGATGGGATGTATCCAGTCAAAGAATTATTTGACAGATCAATGACTAGAAGTGACACCATTTCTCCAATAGAGAATGGGATTTCTCCTGATAAGCGGTTACTTCCAAGAGAAAGAAGGATTAGATTTGGCATGACTTTCCCGATGTTATATGGGATGACACCAGAAAATCTGTTGAAGGAGAGAGAAAATAATTCGACTTCAACACTTGGAAGAGGAATAGGTCCTTCAAACAGGTTGGAACTCAGATCAATGTCTGCAAAGGGAACAACATCAAATAAAGATGGTAGCTGCCCGTGTAGCTGATTGATGGAAATATTTAGCAAGGATAGGTTAAAGGTCATATCCCAAAACCAAAATGGTATTGAATCAGAAATACTGGCATTAGAGAGATCAAGAAAGTTGATATTTTTCTGAATTTTAAGCCAATTTGGAAAAGATGGACTTACTTGACATGAACCCAGATCAAGATTTCGGACCTGGAATGGAGGGATCCAATCATCTTTCAAATGTAAGATCAAAGAATTTGAAGAAAGATGCAAGAATGTCAGTTTACTTAGCTTCAAGAAATGGGCTTCGGAAACAATGCCATTTAGATCATTGAAAGAGACATCAAAGTTCGTCAACTCAGACAGCTGACCAAAACTCTCTGGAATAGTCCCGTTGAACTTGTTCCTTCCAAGTCCCAAACTGGTAAGTCTTTGTAATCTCCCTAAAGAAGTCGGGATCGGACCATGAAGCTGGTTATAATTCAATTCCAGTTCTTCAAGATTACCCAACTGACCTACCCATTCCGGCAGTCTACCAACTAATTTGTTGTTGGTCAACCACAGCCTCTCCAGATTAGGCATTGAGCTGTTGGATACACACGTTTCCACCCCTTCGAGAACCTCAGGCAAACTTCCTGTCATGTTGTTTCCTGAAATCCCCAAGAACTTCAAGTTGCAAAGTTTTCCAATTGAACCAGGAATTCCACCCTCGACGTTGTTATCAAATAGATTCAGAGAAGTGAGAGAAGTCATATTGCCAATGGCAGCTGGAATTTTACCGTGTAACTTGTTTGAACCAAAATCAAGAACATCAATCTTTGGCCAGCTTCCCTTAAACAACTGCGTGCAGCTAGCTGTGAGGTTGTTATTTATCGCCAAACTTATGTATCGTAAATTTGGTAGTTCACTTAGACTAAGTGGAATTCTTCCATACAACCCACAGCTACTTAAATCTAAGGAAGAAAGACTAGTGAGGTTTAAAACCCAATCCGGAAACTTGGAATCAAAGCTATTCATAGAGAGGTCTACATCGGAAAGAGCAGGAAGATCAATGGGTGAAAGAGTGGAAAGTCGACAACTTCGAAGATGAAGTACTGTTAATGACGTAAGATTGTTCAAAAGCCTGGACCAGTTTGGGCCCACTTGTGACAGGTCAACGTTACTCATCTTGAGATGTTTCAGATACCTGATCTTGGTCAACCACTCAAGACTCCCGACGTTTAAGCTACCAAAGTTGCTTGAAACATCAAGATATTGTAAGTGAGAGAGGTTTCCAATACTTTGAGGAATCCGACCACTAAACCCCGCTGTTGAAAGGTTGAGGTATCTCAGATTTCTCAAGAAACCAATGAATTCTGGGACCTTATTTTCATTGAAAGTGTTGTAGCTCAAGTCAAAGTAAGTCAAGTACTTGAGTTTGAGCAACGAAGGTCTAATCTCACCACTAAGGTTCCAGAAACCATACCTTCCCGGTTGATCATCACCATAACTCAAAGGATACGGGTTGTGGAGATCAATCTTGTTAACAGCACCGGTTGAGTTATCACAACCAATACCATGCCACTGACAACACTTGTTTCCTTTCCATGATGAAAGCCGATCTTCTGGATCAACAAGACCTTCCCTGAAGTTAAGAAGTGCTTCTAGTTCAGACCGAGTACATTTTGTGCCAACATCAGTAGCATCTGAGAAAAAAATTACTGATCTTATAATTAAGAGAACAAAGACTGTAGTAGCTATAAATTTATTTGCATGCATTTTTTTGTGAAGAGAAAGACTATCTAACAAGTTCTTATATATTTGATGGGTGCTGGCTTTTCCACAGAAGTTTTTTTTGCATCCACAGAAAAATAAAATACAGTGAATTGACAATTATACCCCCAATTTAACTTCTAGCATGTATATTGGAACCTCCAAACAACCTGCAACGACGCACGACTAATTGATGTTTTGTTGTTGGGCTGTTGGCCTTGTTGCTGCTCAGAATGAGTTCATGTCGCTAGTTACATAGAGTGGTTGAGAGGCTTGTATGCAAAGAAAAAGAAAAGGTATAAAATATTTATATATTAAATAATCGAGGGTATCAATTGTGTTGCGTCGTTTGTTTGAGTTTGCACTCTCTTCAATATCTAGAAATTAAATTGGGGGTATAAGTGTCAATGCACTATTCTTTTATGTCGATGAATAAAAATCAGAAAAATCAACCCCCATATTTGATTCTTGGTTAACTTCATTTCCACTAATATAGTTAATTTTAGTTACTTACCAGGAAATTTCCAGTTCACTTTAAATAATCAGCAGTTGTTATCAAATGTAATTTCGGTACTATGATCTTTTCAATTCCCATTAAACTAATAACAGTTGACTTGACCCCGACGACTAGACCTACAAAGTTTATGCTCCCCCACTAATTCTAAGCATGGCATAATATTCATGTTTATGATTGATTGTCAAATGAGTAGTTATTAAATTTTAGTCCCTTTTGTTCTAAATTTGAACAATGTTTTTTTACCTTTTATATAAATTGAAACTCCAATTCTCTTTCAAGAAAATTACAAATATAGTCGGTTTTCTTAAGACCAGAGGAGCCCGGGGCCTGTTGGCATCCAAAAGGTGGCCACTGTCGTGAATACCATCATCGGTGCCACAGTCGTGGTGGTTCATGGTGTGTGACACGGAGCGCAATGGACCAATATTCTATTTCACATAAAAAATATTCTCTCCTATATAAACCATAATACCTTCACATACAATCTCTTATTTCTTATCATGGAATAATTTTACAACCATCAAATTTCCAAACTCAACAACCTTGGTAGGAAAAAGAAGAAACTATGTTACCTTGTGCTTAGATTTTGGTATACGAAAAGGAGAGAAACCATTTGACAATCTATTCGAAACTACTTCCACAACAAAATAGGGAAATGTGTTTATCGGAATCTCGAAGGACTTTCGTCAAAATATCGAGATACGACGTTAAAAATAACTGAGGTCAACGATATTTGCAACGACCTCAAAAAGACACATCCAAATATGAGTAACGACTCTGAGATTATCGATATGTCACTGAAACAATATCAAGAACTAGCTTAACCGTAATCTTTTTCTCTATAGCAATGCTCGGTATGAGCTAAGTAATTCTTCAAGATTGTTTCCGTAGGCACCTTTGGAAACTGAATATGAAAATTAAATTCCAAAAGAAGTAATTTTTCTTTTATTGGAGTTACTTTAACATTTTTTTCCTACCCTGTAATTTTGTTGGTCATGCCCCTTTGACGATTTTTGGTGCTTTAATACCTAATATTTTATGCGTTACAAAAAGTCATCCCCAGCCAAAGTGGCGTTGACCGAGTCTTTAACATATAAAAATTGTATTTATACATATTTAACTTATTTATATGCATGCATTATGTATAAAAACGTTTGTATATGCATAAAAACGTTATGTATATATATATATATATATATATATATATATATATATATATATATATATATATATATATATATATATATAGGTAAGTTATATTGAGAACACTAGAAAGGTTGAGAACGCGAGATCTGATGACAACAATTTAATTAAATCGATCTAGGGCTAATATTCATGGGGTTATTTATGTCATCTTAAAATGAAATATATCAAAATGTAAATTATTAATTTCAAATTTGTTATATTCCTAAAAATTAGCTTACAATTCACACAAAATTCGTTTCTCTCACCTGTCGTTCCTCTGTCTCTCTCTCTCAAGGGCTTGAGCCCTTCAAAAACAAAGCAAATTCTTCAGCTTCATCATCTACACATCGCCAGACCACCTTCTACCTTATTCCATCTCGTTGACTCTACTTCCTATCCCTTCATCCATCCACCATTGAGCTTTCTCTTCACCCCATCATCTTGCTTGCTGCCTTCCTACATATCCCAATTTTCGAATCTAACAGATTTACGTTTCCGATTTTGTATCCATTAGAACTCTAATTGTCGGCTTCACTACCTACTATCATCATCACCATCGCAACACCACCACCATCTTCACACACACTCCGAATCAATTTGGGAGACATTTGTTATTCTTAATTTTGTTGTTGATTGCATTTTTTTTCTTTTATCCAAGAGGAGTTAAAGAATGGATTAAAAGGTCTCCACCCAAGGTGTGTATGTTTTGATTAGTTTTTCATCATATTAGGCTCCTCTTCTGGATTTGGCATTTATTTTCCATTGTGGGGGGTTGTTCTAGGACGTATGTGAGGTGGGTGCACACAAGGTGTTTGTGGATATGTCCCTTAGCTGTAAATTTACATTTTAGGTGAAAAATTCAAGTAAAAAATAGTTGAGGGGAGAGCGATCATGTAAATCAAAAGAATGTCATCAGTGTTTGTTTGGTATTTTGCTGATTCATGATTAAAGCATGTCCAATATACATTACCGAGCCCACAATCACCACATCTACTATCGTCTAACACAACCATTACCGAGCATCATCTCACCTACCTTTTCAAGCCATCATCATTGAAAAAACCCACCATCACCGCGCCTTACACCACCTGCCATCATCTCATCACCACCATTGTGACCCAACTTCATCACCACATCACACCTAAATTACCCGAGGGTTGTACTCTCTGTTACCCTTCTATATAGTTTTTTGATTTTTATTTAATTTATTTTATTCAGCAAAAAAATCAAAACAGGTGTTGAAGACATTTCCACAGATTGTAAGACTCATAAGGTTGTAGTGAAGGGAGACCCAAGTAAGCAGATATGTTGAAGCTTCTATCTCAGTTGTAAGACTTGTAAGGATTATACTTTCTTTTACCTTTTATCTAGTTTATTTAGTTTCTGTTTCTAGGAGTATTTTGCTACTTCTAATTTTTTTGGTTAGGCTTTTATTACCTGTTAGGCCTTTAGTAGTTTCATTTCCATCTTATTCATTGATTGTTGGTTCCCTTCTTAAGTTGTTTTATCTTGCAGTCGTTGTGGTGATGGTGATGATTTGGTGCTTTGCTTTTGGAGCTTGGTTTGAAATAGACCATTTTGCCCCTATTTTTGCTTCCTTTTGTTTTTTATGCCTTCAGAGTACGATGCGATGTTGGCTCCTTCCAGTTTGTTCATTGTTTTTATTGGTCCCTTCTTAGGCTCTGTTTTGTTTTCTTTGACTTTGTTGTTGTATTACTTTTTCTCAGCTCCTGGATAGCTTTCTCTTTTTATTTATACAATGCTTTGTCGTTAAAAAAAATACAAAAATAGGTATTTTTATATTTAAGCAATTTGTTCTAAATTTGTGGAAGGTAATTTGTGATGTGATTTTAGTTATAATCATAAACGATTACATCGTGAATTTAGAATAATTCCCGGTGATATTTTTGTTATAATCATTAATTATTTCATAACGAATTTGAAATAATGCTAATCATTAGTGAATATTTCAATTTTTTTTTTAACTTTACAACTTATCAAGCTATTTATGTGTATCTCATGATATACTTGTAGTTTTTTTATTATCTCAATTTTCTTTTGGTGTTTATATTTTAATTTGATTGAAGAAAATAATATGTTGAACTCTATTCTTTATTGTTACAGGTTGAAGGTGGTAATTTGAGAAAAAAAACAAAGACAACATCATCTCCATCAGAAGGGGAGAAAAATACGTTTTATTCATTTGTAATTACAATTGTATGAATACGATCCAGTTCAAATGTATTAGACAAAAAATCAATTGTAGTCATGTATAAATACAAGATTTCAGTTTTGAAAGTAATTTTAATCATTTATAAATATAGCATTCTCAATATAAATGTATGAATCAATTTGTAGTATAATTATTTATGAATATAACTATATAAATATGTGAATCCAGCTTTCGACATATTTATTTATGAATATTACAGTCGTTGAATTCATTTATTAATGAATAAAAATCCATTTATCATATTTATGTTATACAACAGTAGGTTTTGTTGATATATGAAAAAAACCAACTAATTTATTTATAACATTATTTAATCTTAATTGATAGAAAAAAACGACATTGGATTCTTATATTTTAAATGAAATTCATTCAATTTTATTGATTTATATTAATAAAAAATGTAATTCTTTTTGAAAAAAGTTGAAATAAATGATTTGAACATTATAGGAAACTATCATTTAATGAAGTTGACCATTTCATTAATGTAAATATAAAATTCATGTATTTCCCCTTGGAATATGACTGGTCCACAATTGTTCTCGCGTTCTTAACCTTTTAACGTTCTCAATATAACCTATCCCTATATATATATATATATATATATATATATATATATATATATATATATATATATATATATATATATATATATACACACACACACACACAGAGTTAGGTTCATATGTGGATGAACATGTATTGCGCGGACATGTGAACATTGTTATTTTGTGAGAATCACTAGGAGAATTTGTTGTTTGGTAATGTGAATATGTTCCACCTCATATAACTATTATTATTATCATGCATTTTCAATAATTAAATCGTCTATAAGGGTATTATCAACTTTTTTTTTAATAATTCTCAGTCTGTAAGAATTTATTCTTGATAATCGTATTCTATACGAATGAGAATGAGTGAAAAATGATGTGTGAGAACAAAAATGAATAAGTAGTGAGAATGCATGATAATGACAATATTTATGTGAGGTGGAACGTATTCGCATCGCCAAACAACCTATTCTCTTATTCATTCTCATAGAATAACATTGTCTACACACATCCATACAATAAATGCCATTCAGATTTTAACCTATATATATATATATATATATATATATATTGATAGCGTGCCTCCTAGACACGCCGGAAGATACCAAAGACACTTGATTATATAGCCTAGCCAACCAGTCATCATTACTACCTAGTACCCATTTCGCACCGGAAAGGAATGGTCCTCGACAGTCGGGTTCCAGCTTGGAACCTGCACGGGAAAGTCAATAGACAATAGGCATACACCTAGTAACTTCAGTACGGGTGCACACACCACTCGAAGACGACACGACAGGCAGGCATCTTGTAACGTTAGTGCGGGAAAGTCAATAGACTCCATCCTGATTGTAGACTTCTGACGGAGAACCTCCATCCATGCCCTGGAAGTGGAGGTCTAATATCACATCATTGGCACCATCCGATTATTGAGATAATGATACTAAAAGCCCAAAACACCAAACACCGATCATGGTTAACGACGGAGAATAAGTTACCAACAACAAGGAGCAAAGCCCTGTCCGACCAATGCCGTCTCAAGACTCAGTTCTCATTGAAACAATTCGGATACCCACCTCTACCGTTTTCTACGCGCCACATTGGGAATGACGATAAATCAGTTCTAGGTACCCACACTCACACCAACAAGCAAACTACAGTCAACTCAAACCAGTTTCACTCAAAATGCGACGGGAATACCAACTCTGTTACTATCTGGTAACACGCCACCATTTACACAACCACAGATAGGAATGTATTCTTGCATACAAGCACAGACAACACCAAACTTCCATCCAATCTACTCAACGCCGGTGACACGACTATCCTTGGCTATGGCGTTCATTAACACGATTTCGTGAAGTGGATCTGATTGATAAAAAACATACGGGCATTAACACTCGTTTACTAAAAACGGTCCCTAAAAATTATTACAATTAAAAGTAGTGTGTTACCATTAAGAATCATACAAACCATAGCAAGAAAATAAGAATTACATACATACAATAATGGGAAAATGCTACTATAGCACATGTAACTTTTTTGTTTGGTCCAATTTGACCAACTATGTTATTTTTTTGCACAATTGACCATTAATATTTTTACTGTAGATATCAATTACACCATTGCGACTAATTTTAGAAGGTTTTCTGATTTCTCATCCTACCTGGCATCCGACGTGTATGGTAAGCTAATGAGAAACTGCCACGTTATTTCCACGTTGACTCCATGTCAACTCCCCTCTTATACAAAAAACTTAACAACCGTATATGGAACACCCTTACCTTCAATCTTTACATTTTTTGTGTAAGCTTCTCTCGAGCAAAGATCCAAAGCAATATCTCGATCCTCGATCTCTTCTTCCATAAACCCTCCCATCCAGATCGGTAACTTTAGGGACTCATATGAGCCGAAGACTTGTGGGTGTGAGAAGCCGACGAAGGAACAAACGAGCTGGAAATATCACAACCCGGGAAGGTGGTTCTAGAACTGTAGCAACAATTTGGTAAGCTCTCATGGTCACGATTTCTTGTAATGTTCAAAAATCATACGATTTGTAGCATTTATGATGTTTAGATAAGTGCAAGAAAACCCTAATAGTGTAATGTCGTCGATTTTTGTGAAAATGTTGAAAGGAATGATTTGTTTGTGGGATCCCTTTGTTTGTATCATTTATTTATTGTATATAACTATAAGATCTCATATGATTTGACAATGGTGTATATTTTGGTGTATATTTCAGACATCATTAAAAAGTTATGATTACTTCTTTTAGAAAGACGATGAGCTGCCTAAGAGGGTACTACAAGAACCTTATCAGAACATTGAAGCAATAGGTAGATTCAAAAGGAGAACTCTATTGAACTGGTCAGCCTTAGGAAGAAGGTTGTGGAATTGGAGTTTCTGCTTTCAAAGGAAAAGTCAGTTGTTGAAAAGCTTGAGAATAAGGTAACAAAGGAGAAGGAAGTTGTGATGATGCTTAACAACAAATTGGAAGCTTCCATGCAGCAAAATTCCATATTGAAAGTTCTGGTTATGATGATTCTATTGGTTGTTGAACTTTGGTGCTTTAAGTAGAAGGGAATATTGTAGGATGTTTTTGGTATATGTAGTTGTCTTTTGGTCATTGATTTAGTTGTCTTTTGGTGTTTATGTACTACTTTTGGAAACTGTAGAAACCCATGCTAGTTGTAGATCCCAACATTTAGCAGCTTATTTTGGAAACTGCAAGACCCATGTGTATGGGCAATTTTGTAATTGTTACCCAGTCTAACGAAAACTTCATTAGTGGATCAAGTATTTTTTTTTATGTGTTGACCACTATCTTTTTGTCAACAGTGGACCATATTGGTCATTAAAGTATACATAGTCTATTTTGGAAACTACTTATATCAAACACATTGTCTATTTTAGTCATTAATGTATATATACATATAACCATATTGGTCATTATCAACCATGCAACATATAACTTGACATCTTTCAAAAAATAGCAATCAACTTTCATATTTTGTAATAGTGCATAAACTGCATAAAATACTTCCATTAAATACCAAAAATGCCCATAGTAATGGGCAACTATATAATTGTATGTTACTACATAGATTGTACTAGTGGAAAACGTAACAACTTCATAGCATCAAAGTATCACAACATATGTAACGCCCAGATTTTTCTACTAAGGTACACCCAAATTTATCAGAAAAATAATTTAAAATTTTTACAAATAATCTTGGTGTACGTTGGCCCTCTGACATACAAGAAGTTATCACAAGGATCGTGTTGGCACCAAGCACATGATCGAACCGGGTGTCACAATAAATCTACCTGCAAAACAGATTATCACGAAAACATAAGCCTCACGTCTTAGTGAATAACAACTACTATAACGTAATCAAATAATAAGATAAAGCATAAAATCATACAATTCAAGCAAATTATATAAATTTTCACATAATTATCACATATCCAATATAATCATTTCATCAAGGGATTTATCTCTTAATAATAATCTAACTCTCAAATATCTATCTTATCAATAATCAATACCTCCCTCATATTCAATATCTCGATCCATAACCAATCTATCAATTAAGTTCTATCTTTCGATTATTGTATATTCATTAATCAAATATCAATTTATTAGCATAATCTAATCTCTCAATAATTATCTATTTCTCAATATCTTAATCAACAATTAATTATTGTCAATAATAATTAACCATATAATAATTATCACAATTATCACAATAATGGATGTTAGAGTAGTGTTACTCACATGGTTAGTCGATAGACTTATTCCAGTCTCATCTTTGGTCTTCCACTATCTATCAGCTCATCACATGGTAACACCTATTTATCAAATACAAAGTTCCTCAGAACCTGTATAGACTCACTAATAATTATACCTTGTAACCCCTTATGACAATAATAACCAAATATCATAATATTATCACAATAGGCTAAACCCATAAGCCTGTGGCTAAATCTCTCATATCGGGTGTTTCTCGGGTAATAGGGTTTATAACCCTTATCAACGAAACTCAATATCTAATCATGAGATTTTTTCACTAGTCTCAACAACGGGTTCATAATAGCTCCATATCACAAATACCCGTAACCCTTACATGGGTCTAATATATCAAATAAAAATCATATATCACAACTACTAATTAACACAATAAAAATATACCACAACAGATCTCGTATCTCGACCCCACATCCCCGTATAACGGTATAACATCTCCGTTATAGACTCCCGAGAACGGCTCCCGAGTAGCATCTATCCTCCCGCGAGCCAAAAACCTCCAAAATAACACAAAGGACTCGTTTTTATAGTCTGGGCTTGCTCACGTCGTGAGCATTTACTTCTCACGTCGTGAGACATGTTTAGACTGGTTTCAGCCACGTGTCGTGCTCTTTTGCCACGTGTTTTTCTCGATTCATGATGCTCACGTCATGAGGAAACATCCCTCATGTCGTGAGGATCAAAGGTTTGATCGTTGACTTGA